TTCTCATAACTCCACCATGGAGAGACTCCTATTGGTCACTGGGAAGGCAAGCCTAGTGGACCCAAAGCAGGGGTGCTGTCGAACCCTTGAAAGTACACAGTCACTTGAGTACCCACTTCTTCTGATGCCGGGATTGGACCGTATGCACGATCCCTGGATTTCCTTTTAGGCCTGATCAAGCCCTTTACAATTACCATGTACCTCGACTTCTTCTGCTGACCGAACAAAACAACATGCAGGGAGGCCTGTCCTATCTGGCATTGCCCAGGGCCCGGGGAAGCTGTCAGCTGTCCACTATTCCGTTTGTTTGTCTGTGTCTGTCTGCCCATCAGGGGACTGCACACGCACACTACATAGTATGTACTGTGTAGGCAGTCCCGCGGGCGGAATTTGTCAACATGCTTTTCTACAGCAGTTGACCGCACCCTGTTTAGGCATTGAGCCTGGGGTTAGGGGGGTAGGCACGGCAAGAAGTTCAAATTCATACTGTACGATACACACCATTTGAGTATACACTCGCTCTGTCTGCTGCAATTCTGCTCTGTTGCTCGTCACTCTCTCTTCCAATGGCTGGCGGAATCGGACTCCGAACGTTGAACGCCGAGGACCTACAGTGTGTCTCATGCACCTCCAAGCCTTTCCCCTCCTTTGGCTGACAACCATTCCACGCAGCATGTCATGTCCTAATTTACAAAACGGCCATCATTATCATCTCTTTTCTTTGGGTGCCATTGTATTTTTGCAGCGCTTAAGGAGGCTATGCAATGCTCCATAGCTCCGTTAATTTCAGGTTCTCTTGGTCTGAAATGTCCATACTCTAGATTTTGCCAGCCTAGTATAATTCACATTGACTCGAGTCGGTGACGTGCCCAACAAGGTGATTCGTCGTCAGGGAAAGAGGAAAAAGCACTGCTCGTCAGTTCCAATCATCCATCTACTCTGTACATACGATCATGCCGCAAAAGGACCCTGGGCGCATATGACGGCGTCGCATGGCTTGATATGCCTGCCCGCCACCAGAGAGGAGAGAAAGGGTTGAGTAGCATTGAGAAAACCGGTTTCTCATTAAGTGTCTTCAGCCTACCAGCAAAGCCAATCGCAGATATGGGCTTTGCACCCAAATGCCATCCCGTCAGCATATGGGAATTTCAACTGGCCTGTCCGCGTCGGCGTTACAGACGGGCTTGGGGGGGAGAGAGTAACCTACCTACCTCTGAAACCAGATTGATTGCCACTATTAATTCCATATACCATTTACTATACCCCTCACAAACCCCAAGCAATCAATCAATCAATCAATCAATCAATCAATCAATCAGCGATCAATCTGCCTACCTAGCATTTCAAAAGGAAAGCTCCCCAATTCATCAATCATCAGATTCACACTGTACGCGTACCGCACTGCCTCCATGCTTGCCATGGGCGCGCGCGAGTCGTTGTCGACATCCGCTTCCCTGTTCATGTATGCACTACCTACATACCTAGCTACTCATCTGCTCTGCATCTGCAGTCAGGGTCCATTTGGAGCTGGGATAGCTCATGTAGCTCTCGAGCTTTTCACTCTACCGTCAGTCACATTTGCTGTTTTCTACCCATCTGCTTGTCTCTTACTACTGCAATGCAACTCGTAAGGGAAAAGAGAAAACTCTAGTGTAGCAACCCACCACAAACCCCCCCAAGCCGTGACATGGCAAGCATGGCATTCTCTTTCTCTGTCACTTTCCCCACAAATATCTTCTCCCATCCTCTGCTTGATTGGAGAATTGCCCTCGTCCGCCCATAACTCACACCGCGAAAGAAAGATTAGAGCATTTACATACACACACAAGATGCCGTCAAGACAGTTTTTGCCACCTCTAATGCGCGCGCCCAACTTCCTCGTCAAATGACAGCCTGATGAAGAAGTGCTTGAACCCAGCATCTAACCCCCCCCCTAGCCAGCCAGTGACCAACCACATGCTGCCACTGCTAATGCGCGATATACACGACAAGAGAGAGTGCCCCATCCGTGGATGCCGTACGTCCTCTTCCTTTGGAGCGAGAGCCATTCTTGTCACGAGTCTGTCCGCAAGACAAAAGGATTCAAGGCAATAAACTCACCGCCTCTCGATTTTTTTCTTTGGTGGTGACCCGGCACTCGACTTGACAGTTGGTTGGAGGGGGGCCGTTGCAATAGGTTCAACGACTGTACAGATTACACACACATATACGCACATACATACAAAGGCAGTAGTACGTAGGCAAGGTAGGTAAAAAAGTCTCTATACACACGGACCAGGGACCATGCCCGCTTCAAAACTCACCTGCCTCCCTGTCTACAATTGCCGATCGTAACCACGTCGGTATAGTTGCATTCCTCTCTTGATGGCTGCTACAATTCACTCCAAGTACCTTTGTGCGAGATCGCGTACCGCCTCCCTCCCCTCCCCCCAATCTCTCTCTCTACTCCTATGTACTACACAGTAAACCCACTGAATGAAGCTCTTTCACACGTGCAGAGTGGAGAAATTTTTGGGAAAGCCGCGAGCTGCTTCTTGTTGTTTGTTCTCGTCTCGGCTTTAGGCAAGTCCGCCAAAAATGTCACACTGGTATCTCGTGGGCTCTTGACTATCCGGCCACCTAACAAAAAGTCACTCTTGTACCTGATCGCCCACGGCATCTGATTGATCCAAAATGAATAAGGACAGAAAAAAAAAAAGGGCTGCTGACTTTGGACTGGGATTTGGGGCCCCCCTTCCCTTCCAAATGTCCCCTTCTTCATGCGGTCTAATCGTTTTTGCTGTGGGTAACGAAACCAATGCAAGCAGCCCATCCGGGGTTATTGGGGACTTTGGCGTCTCGACCGAAACCCTCTGTTGCCTGGCTTTGAAGGAAAGGGGGCTGTGGTGGTGGTGGTGGTGGTGGTGGTGGGATGTGTTTTGATCAGTACTTCTGCTTACTGTGGGAAGTTCTTTTCCCTGACCGCTTGCGAGATTACCCAGTTTGAAAGATATCACATCATTGTTCTTTTTTTTTTTTTTTTTTTTTTTTTACGGGTAGCCCGAGTTTGGTACACAGTAACTCGATGAGGGTTCAGTAGTAACGGAGAGAAAGAAAGGGGGGGAACAGTCCTGAGTGTCGAGAGTTCTTACAGTACAGTCTTTTGTTCAACAAGCTTGCACCTTTTTAATCCTCTCTTGGGAAAAAACGATGATCACCGTTCCAGGGCAGTGGAACAGGCTGTCTAGTCCGTTACGTGCCGGGAAACTATGCTCTTCTCTGGCAAAAGATTTACGTCTTCTGGCAGGACCTGGGGAGGGAAAGCAGAGTGCGGCTGAAGCTGCACGCGACTGATCGTCAGGGACACCCTCGTATGGGTTTTGGGGCCCTTGGGCAAGCACATTTGAACAAGGACGTTTCTTGTGTTGGTTTTCTTTAGTCACAAACATGGTGGATTTATTCTGTTGATCAGTGACTCTTCTTGTCAGAGAGGTCAGGGAATAAGACCATTCCCGGACAACGTTTTTTTTTTTTTTTTTGTTGTTTTGTAGCCGAACCTTATTCGCCGTCTAGGCGAAGAAAAGGCTGTTGATCGTTTCCCGTCGCTGGAACTCTTCTCGAATGTCTGGCGGACATGTAGAGTTGGAGAAAACCTCCCAAGACAGAAACACACGTCCATAAGCGGATGTCGATTGTTTCCTTTTTGGGGGAGGCATTCCTGTCACTTTTCTTTGGCACCCTCTCGACGCGTCTATTGGATGAAGAGTAACATTAGTCTTTAGCTGCGGCTAGAGTTGCCCGTAGACCCTCGATGTCCATATCCAAGCTCTCTGAACTCCCACGGGTGAGCAGATACGTGTGCGGCAGAAGAGCATATTTCTCTGGGAGGGCTGGGTGACACATGCCGTCAGAAGAACCTACATTTGTCCTACCCATATTGGGCCATCGGCTTTTCTGCAGGTATTTGATTGTTCGGGTTCGAAAGGGCAACGTCTTGCGAGCGAACCGGGTTCCGAAAAAACTGCACACTACTCCCGTTATGTCTGTTGATGTGTTGGTGAGGATTCAGCGGGAGAGGGAGAGAATATGTGTGTATGACTTGGTTAGTCGGACCTTGCTTGTAAGTTATATGTTGCATCTATCTCTATAGAGTATGGCTATCTTGTCACTTTACAACCATGGCTCGAAACACCACGTTTGATATTGGTCGAGTAAGAGAATTGATTACGTGTCTCATATAGTAATAAGCTAGAAAAAGAAATATCAAGCAAAACGAGCTGCTGAGACAAAACAAACAAGCCAAAGCAGTGTATTATATGAACGTCTTGCCGTAGAAAATGTCATCTTCCGGTAATTCTGCTTCTTGGAGTCCGATCTATTTGCTTGTAATAAGCCTAGGCAGGAATTTGGCATGTAGAAAAACAACTTTCTATAGTTGTCCTGTTTCTTCAGCTGTAGTCATACACACTAGATGTATGGTGAAATGGTCTGGTTGTCTCCATCGAGTATTTCTACTGGGCAGACCAGTATGGCTGTTCCCGAATGAGTCCTTTCGGTAAACAGCTCATGGACTTTTCAAGCATGGAACATGAAGATGCTTTGCTTTGCTTTCCGCGATCATACAAAACCAGTCAAACGATACTAGATAACTCTCCGATATCCGCCACAAAACTTAAGGGCAACATGGAAATTTGTCTGAGAAGATTACCGGATTCTCCAAGCGCAAAGGAGATACCTCGCTGACAAACTGCTGGAGCTTGTGTGCAGCCTGGATTGTTCCTTCCTTTGCCGAATCAAACAAGATTACGTTGATCACAACTACGAGCCACGTTCTGAACTCGCCACAAGAAACGCTTGATTCACGATCAGTACCCAGTCAAGACCGCATAAATCACCTTACTACAAGGAGCGCGCGCATAGCAATCACTCAACGAGCTCAGCCAAAGTTGAGCAAAGCAACACCCACAGAACCAAAAATCACAGAGCACCGAAGCAAAGCCAAAGAAGAAGAAGAAGAAGAAATGTGCTACACAATACACTACGTCTCGCGCAACTGCGGCCATCACTGGCTCGAGATCTCGCAGCCCTGCTGGCCCGGCCAGGGTTTCAACAGCTGCGATACCTTTGGCGATGGCATTGCGCGCAGCCCTAGCCCTCTGGCCAAGACGCAGACAGCCTGTCCGGCCTGCTCGGGCGCCGGATGCTATGACAAGCACCGGTTCCGCATGATCATGCATGTCAAGAACAAGTACAAGGTGGGCGAAGGGCCTTGTAAGCATGAGCCTGGCTGCGAGTGTGTCATACTGTAAAATGAATGACCTACGGCGACGAGGCGAGAGAGAAAGAGAGGGAGTGAGAGGGAGAAGGAAGCAAACGAGGAGCAGCAGAAGAAAAAGGCATCGAGTCAAGAACAAATCTTTTCGAGGGCAAGTGCTGTAGGAATCTGGACAGTCAAATCAAGAAAAAATCAATTCTGCGATTCGCAACACGAGTGTCCGCGTCCGCGGGTGCAAAAGAGACTCAAAATGTTTTTGCCATTATGGAAAAATCGTCAAACCAAAATACTTCAACGATTGAGCTCATGCGGGCCAAGGTCAAACAAACATGCCCAATTCATTTGTGCCGGGGACGTTATCCGGGAAGAAAGCAAACGCCGCAATCTCTATAGCAACAATGAGCGTTGACGAAATAGTTGCTAGAGACACTGCGATATCGACACCAAATGCTGCTTTTCCTTGGAATAATTTACTGATGCTTCATCATGACAAGCTCAAACATTCATCACGTGCCCTAACCCCATCTTTTGGCGCAAAGGGAAAAAAATCTCCACACTTGTAGCTCGGTATTCTTCTTTTGAAGCTCAAGGCAAAGCGAATACAAGTCAGACCACGATCACGGTGTCTCCCATCAATCATTCAAAGTCACTCGAGTCCCCTTGTGTTTTGCCTCCATGCTTCCCACGCCAGACACGTCGCATGTGGACTATGAGCGCATCTACGAGCCGGCCGAGGACTCGTTCCTGCTCCTAGACACACTCTCCTCGGACACGGAGACCGCCTTCCTCCGGTCCCGATTCGGCAATGGCGGCGCCGCGGCGGGATCGTCGCCGCAGCAGCCACCTCCGGCCCCGTTGGTGGTGGAGATTGGACCCGGCTCGGGCGTCGTCATTGGCTTTGTCAACGCGCACGCCGACACCATCTTTGGCACGCGGCATGTGCTGACGGCGGCCGTCGACGTGAACCGGCACGCTTGCACTGCGACGGGCGCCACGGCGCACAGGGCGGCGGCGGCGGCCAATGGTCATGACGGGGTCACCGCCACTACTGCTGGCGTGTTTCTCGACGCCGTGCAAGGCGACCTCGCGGCGCCGCTGCGGACGCGCTGTGTCGATGTGCTCATCTTTAATCCGCCGTACGTCCCGACGGACGAGCTGCCGCGACAGCCCAGCGCCGCCGACGCCGAGACAGATCGGGCCAAGACCAGCTTTGACCACGACTCGTACCTGCTGGCGCTCTCCTACGCCGGCGGCCGGGACGGCATGGAGACGACGGACCGGCTGATTGACGGGCTGGGCGAGATCCTGTCGCCGAGGGGGTGCGCCTATGTCTTGCTGTGCGCGCAGAATCGGCCCGAGGAAGTCAAGCAGCGGATCAGGGAGTTTGGCCCAGAGTGGTTGGTTGAGACTGTAGGGACCAGCGGCAAGAAGGCCGGGTGGGAAAAGTTGCAGATTATTAGGATTTGGAGGGAACAATGAGCGGGTTTTCGAAATGATCCAAATGAAAACAAGACTTATTACGCGTTTCATGTGTTTGATGATTTTGACATGGCTGTATGACCTCTGCCCATGCGGTGAACTCTTATTTCTCTATGCTGGCCCTTGGCTCTCATGTTAATGAGCTGAACAAACATCTCATGGCTTGACACACCATTATCATCATCTGTCTTGATGGAAATAGAGCCCATACCAGCTAGCTGCCCGGTTGATTTCGCGGGAAGGAGAAAAAATCAATCGTATTGAGACTCGACACCTTTTGCCTTTATGAACGCCGTACGCAAATTCTTGAATAAGTCCATCCTCGTCCTTCTCCAAATGTTGTCGGGGATCATCTCTTTTGGCCCCATGCCAGATCATGGTTTGACTCGGACATGATTCCTTCACCCCTTTCCTGGTCGTGTGAGGTTTCTCATCTTTTCGGGAGGTTCGTCATGTCCAAAACTCTTCTCAAATGGAGCGCAGAAACGTGTTTTTGTCTTGGACACGTGGAGACCAGTCCACCGGCCAACAACTTCAAGAAAAAAGCCCATCATTTTGAGCAGTTTCCTCTTCTTTACCGTCCCCGACCGCGGCCGCCGCGCATACCACCACCACGACCCCTGCCCCGACCGCCTCTGGGGCCGCCGCGTCCGCCGCGGTCCGCAACCTCCTTGCGAGCCTTGTTCTTGGGCTTGACCGAGTCGTCAATGAGGAGGGTGTCGAGCGGCAGCGAGTCGGGCAGGATAAAGTAGCGAATCGTGGAGCCGCGAATGTTCATGGTGTCGAGCGGGATGGGGTCCTGACCGCGCGGCGTCATCTTGACGGTCCGCAGCGCCGTGTTCATCTGTGGCGAGACCGAAGTGATGGTGCCGTGGATGATGGTGCCTGTTTTCACGACAAACGCACATAGCTCAGATTAGCTTTCATGTTTCCTTGGTTTCCTTGTTTTTGCTGCGGGGGGAAATGGCTCGCCGTTCGCAGGATATGGATACGTGGGAGGAGAAGCTTGGGCACTGAAGGAAGGAAGTGGTAATCGGAAATCGTGACAAACCATTCTTGAGTTCAATGGTCACCGTCTCATTGGCGCATTTCATTAAGAATCTGGTGAGAGTGCATCGTTAGCTAGACCGGCCTTGAATTGGACGAGATATTCGCAGTTTTAGCACACGTAGTGCAAAGATAAATGAACAGCTTACCTGACGAGCTTCATCTTGGTTGACCTTGCAGTTTGTCGGGATGTGGATTTGCAAGGCAAAGTATCGCGGTACGACTGCTGTTTCGCTCAGTAGATGGGATGGGCGCGGTCCAGGTAGGAGCTTCAGCCTTGTAAATTTCGTGGCGCACTGAGAGCTTGGAGCGTATCACGTGACCCCATTGTACCTTTCAATATGCAAGGCATCAACGGACGGAATTTGTTCGTACGTGCAACAATTCAAGATAATTTAAATTGCTTATATGCATGTTTAATGCCAGTATCTCCTATGCCTGGCAATATTTATTTACAAAAGGACAATGTTCATGGTCATGCATACATGTTGGGAAACATCGCTCTGAAAGCTCTCATGCTATAGTGGTATCAAAAACATCATATGAAAGCAACCCACCATGGTCTGGCGGAAAAAGAGAGTGGTGCATGCCTATCCATCCCGACATGAATGTGGTAGAGCCACACAGCTTATGCTTTGAGATGTCATCATTTGTCCTTGTCCATCTCGTTCTCGGAAACCTTCTCCCATTCATCCTCGGTGCTCACGCCCGACTTGTAGCCAGGCGCAGCATCCAGTCTTTGCTTCAGCTCGCCTTGCGGCTCAATCACTTCCACCTCTTTGCTGGCCGTGACGGGAGCGATTGATGGCTTTGACTTGGATTGTACCGGCTCCACCTCTGTGTCGTCACTGTCATCAGCATTCTGTCTTGCCATTGCCTCTTCTTGCGCCTTTCTCTCAGCTTCCTTGGCCTGCTCCTTCTTCAGCTCGGTCGCAAACCAGTTGATGGCACCCCACAGTCCTCCACTGATGAATGACAAGATCACAAAGTGGATGCTGTATGTCGCAAGGAGTAGGCCAAACAGGACCACCTGCAAGGCGGCAAAGGTGACGTTGGTCGCAAGCAGAAGGGTGGGCGTGGTGCCCGGGGTGAAAATAGAGTTCCACATCTCCTCGAAAAAGGTTGCCATCTTGTCTGTGTTCTGATGTTGAGAAACCCAAAAAAAAATTTCTAATGGATCTTTGCGACAATGCGCGGACTCGTTTGCGAGAGAAATATGAAAAGAAGTATGCGATGTGCAGAACGCCTGGTGTGGGCTGTCTGCAAGGTTCCCTTTTGACTAATGTAGCTCGTCAAGAATGTAGCTTTCGAGGGGTTTGCGTCTGTACGAGAGACAAGAGACTCGAGGAATAGAGAGCGGCTCAAAACAGAACAGATGGCAATTCGCAGTTGAAGCTGAGCAGACAGTTTGTCCTGTATTGGGGCCAACAAAACCAGTTCTGGAATGAGGCCAGGTGGTGCTAGGCAGTCAATTCCGACTCGTCGTCGATGATGGGAAGCGCCGGGCCTGGAATGATGCAACTGATTTTAGCCACGTCCGCCTCAGGGAAACGCGACGTGTAGACCGACTTTGGATGGTGGGGTTGGGTAGCTCTAAAAAAAAAAAAAAAAAAAAAAAAAAAAAAAAAGGCAAGCTAGTTGACCCTCAGAGTCCTTATGCAGGTCCAGCTGATGATTGTAGCCAAGGTAACAAAGGCTGCTAATCGTGCTTGCGATGTTGGAAGCGCCGCTGCGAGTCAGTTTGGTCTGTCGGCATGAACATGAAGCAGGGCGACAATGACAGTAAATGAGTCAATAAAATGAAGCAAAACAAAAACAAAAAGTCATCAAAGATTACTGAGACGCAAGAGAGGGAAAACGGTCTTTCGCCAGCGGACCATGACCACGTTGGCCGGGATGGGAAGGAGGGGCAAATAGGCGGGTGGTCGGTCGGTCGGTTCCCTTATCGAGGTCGCGTCTGCTGCTCAGGTGACGACGAACGACTTGTGATAGTGCCGCAACTGACCAGCGGGTATTACAATACTTGAGTAGATCACCAGATCAGATTCTGACATAATGTCCAGTGGTAACTGAACAATCAGAGCCAATGTACAGACTATCGATCAATTTACTCATCCCGACGCTGAATACATCCCTTGATGCTTACCTACGGAACGAATTTCTGTTGTCGGTTGCCAGAGAAGAACGCGGGGTCAGTCATCGCAAGAGGATGGATGAGTTGCCAGGCACTAGGGTACCTTAAGTAGATATCACGGTGGGTCGCGATAAGTGAGTCGACGTATTGGATGCTGCCCACGTACATGACCCAAATGCCCAGGTAGCAGTGAAGCCATATTGAATAATCATTGAATTAGCGTCATATTCATCTTGACTCGGCAGATACACGGTTTTCACATGCGAGGCAGGATAATTAATTCGATGGACCAAGCAGATCGGCCATCTTTTGTTTCCCAGAATTGAGAGCCTGTCTGGTGCCACGAGTTTGCGGGGAAGTGACGTTTGGGCTGTAACACTGCGGTGGTGCCATGAAGTTCATCTCATCTCTGGCGGGGTCACAGCTAGCTACCTAGAAAACTACTCAGTGAACGTGGTAAGAGTATGAATGCGATTCTGCCGGCCCTGGAGGACTCATCATTCGATATTTGCATTCCTTGAGCAATGCATATATATATGTCTTGGGTTCAAATAAAGGAGCAGTCTCGAACCGTGCCCTTGATGAGTACATTGCCGCCCCAGATCCACTGTCCGTACGTCGCCATTTGGTTATTCAATTTTCTGTTCAAATCTAGGAGGTAGGTAGGCAGGTATGAATCGTGCCTCTAAAGCGTACGCTCGTCGATGTACCTTGAAATGCTAAAGTTCAACGTTTACAAGGTCGGCGCCGTTGCACCGGCTCTTTCCCAACCAACGGGAACGCTGCGGACAGCCGCTGGAACGCAAACAAACCACGCTGCGGCTTTATTCCGAGATTCCATGCGCCTTCTCTGAGCCAAACTCGAACTCAACAGCTACAAGGCTACCAGCTGAGCTGCCTCTTATGCCAATCACCGGTAGCTATGAGATGGTCAAGATGCTTTCCAACATCTGTGCCCAGACGTAGCTCTTGGGCTGGAGGGCAGTCAACTGCAGTGAAATGCATGTGGCAAACACCACAAACACTTCCTCAATCGAACGAAGGAGTACGAGGTACTGTCGATGCATTTCCATCTGTATGACCGAAGTTGTCTGGTCTTCTTGGTCTTCTATCAAACAATTTCCACATCAAGAAATGTGACAGCTGCTGACAAGTTGATACTTCTCACAGAGAATCAGCGCACAAGAATGGATATCGAAATAACCCGCTACTGGACCTTTCAGTAGATGTCACAAGGTTGGCGGTCAACATGACAGTTCAATACGTTTTGTTCAAAATCCCGGACTTGGAAACTTGACCAATACAGCCTTGGCATGCTGGACTATCTGCCAGCTGTTGTTACCTTTATTTACGCGCGCAGGAGAATCTTCTGGCCCGCTGGTGCCACAATAGCCTCCGTTTCGAAGCGAGTTAATGCTACCATCTATTGCTCTCCCAGCTAATTGGCTGGGCAGCCAGTTCAGCCATCGCCAGCTATGTCTGCAGTGAAGCGCTGGAGGAAGCGAAGACGGTCCTGTACGGCTCAGAGACATTCAATATTCAAGCTGGGCAATGAAGCTTGAGATATGTTCCTGAACATCATACCAAGAAGCAGCAGACCGCCAAAGCCTTCGTCTTCGCCATCCTCCTACGAGAATCGCGATCAACCAATTCTGAGAGCACCTGATTCGACCACAATTGTTCCCTTACCTCCCGCCGTTGAAATCATTGTAGACACGAAATGGACCAATATCTGTACAGGCCGTGCATACATTGATAGCGGGAACTGAAACATTGCTGCCCCTCAGTGTTATCGACGCGGTAGTTTCCAGACGTTTCCCGAGCACGTGCTTCTCCCCAACACGAGGTCGCTCACAGTGGTTCCAAGTCTGAAAGGAGAATATCCATTGTCATGGCAACTGCCAAGGCCCAGACGGGACTGGTTTGAATATCATCACGTCCTATATCGGCTCTTCCTTGGTTCAAGTGAGCTCATCTCAGCCAGCCTAGCCTCTGCCGCTCTGCACAAACTGATGATGTTCTGACCTCCAAGTCGAGCATCCTGCATCCTCTATTTTACCGACTCTTTACATCACTCGGAACCAAAGCCAAGGCTTTGAGCCAAGACACCTCTGATTTATCAATTGGCACCAACTGGAAACAGATCGTCATGTCACCATACGGTCTCGTGCGAGTGCTGACCGCGACAAATGTCTTCATAGCGTCTTAGGAGTTTGTTGTCATTGGAAAAGTCCGTGAACCTCTGCGAAAGACTCATACGGCGTCGAGATGTCACTCTGAATGGACCCGAGAATTCATCTCACCTACTACAATTGGCTTGGTCACTCCGTTCGACTAAACTTTCTTGAAGATCAACAAACATAACTATTTCCAACGGACCAGCGGTCTTGTAAACAGGCTCTAACTCGCTGGTTCTCGAGATCAACAGTAATCAATCGCACTTTAAGACCCCTGCATCTAACGAGCACCTTGAAAGCAAAGTTATAGGCGGCAATGATACCTTGAAGCTTGAGGGAGAATCATTGACGCCGATCTACATTGTGAATCTTTTACATAAGGTATAACGACGACTTCCGGGGTTCAATTGGGCCCATTCCGACACTCTGTGGAGAGTATTGCAGACGCGTGTCCAACACCATTTGGGGAGTGAATCCGGAGTACACGACATTATTTTATTTGGGAGATAGTTATTGCCATGCCACTTGCAGTAACCTCCTGAGTTCCGTCAAATATGCGCTACAACCCAACAATCAAGAGGCTCTTTCGGACAAGATCGTTCACCAAAACTACGGCTTGCTATTTCCATCAGCAAATAAACAAGACAGCTATGAAAGGCATCGTTCGAGTCTCAAGGAGTCCTTTGAACGTTCATGAGAAGCCAACCGCAGGTGGACCTTCACATGTATCGGCTGGGAGAACTGCTTGCTCACAGATTAAGTGGTTTCGGTAATCACAAAACGCCGAATGAGCAGGTTGTATGAGATCTTTGTGACGTTGCATCATGGAAACCTCACACGAATTCAACCTTGGCTGTGCTCGACGGCTTTCCAAAGAGTTTCGACTTATCAACGCCAATATGCACAACACCTTTCTGCACAGTTTGGCCAACTTCCCGCAAACTCCGGTCTCTGAACCTACTTGGCCATCTGGCAATATCTACGGATCCTCTCAACCCCAAGATTTGTCATTACATATGTCGATATTACTAAAATCAGACCAGAGCTGCATCTATGCTACGTAGGAATCAGGAACAAATGTTTCGGGGTCCTAGATTGCTCCCCAACCACCCATACAGGAGCGGAATGCTCCGGGCCGAGCAGTCTAATCTTTCAATCAAGGTTGGTATTATCATTGGTTGAACCAGAAAACGGTCACGAGGGTCGTCACAAGATAGGTAGCGAAAGTGACAAGACAGAAGAGGAGGATAGTGAAGGGGGGGTTTTGTGCCAGGACCAGCACATATGGCAAGAATGAGGGCAGACTTCACCGAGATATCCGGCGTGCAGTCAGACTCACACGAGGTCGACGAGACGTTCCTCAGCCAATCAAGGTCAAAGATTCATTTCCATGGTATCCTGGCCTACGCTGACCAGATTTATCATCTCCAAGGCGAGACAGGTATGGCTTTCAGTGGCGCGCCGCACAGTATCATGATTGACTGTCATGCGTTTGAATTGGGGGCCGGAGGCGTTGAGTCGTCGAGTCCGTTTCTGCACTTTGAAGCTCACTCATGATGAAGAGAACGACTGGGGCAACTCCGATCGATCCTCCTGACAGATCTCCGTCCTTTCAAGGCTTTGTGCCTCGCGAGAGGCTATCAGCCACGTTTCGGATTCTGTATATCATGCAGGTCCACCAGGCCCACCCGGCATCGCCACAGGAACTTGAAGAACGTAGTGGCGAGGTAGAGGGGGGTGGTCCTTGACGAGACTCATTGCGGTTCTAGTCCCAGGGTGTATCAAAATAGTACCTCTGGGAGTTTCCGGGGATCAAGC